ATTCAATAGTGAGGAATGTACTGAAAGAACTAAGAACGGAAACAGACTTTTTTATGCATTTGCAGCTCTGTGACCAACAAATGTTTATGTTTATGGCTTATGATTTTGTTCATCAAGACTATGTTCAAAAATGAACACCACTCTAATGAATTTTCAAGCCTAAATACAATAGGGAAACAGGGCCGTAACCACTATAGTCATTGAGGGGGACTCGCTGCTCCAATTGTTGTTAGGATGACAAAAAGGTATAAAAGTTACATTTTTTAATGCTGGTCTGCTTTAATGGTCTCACAGTGCTCATCAATGTCAAAATGATAGAGATGGCCAATCAAATGAAAGTAGGCAGCTTTACGGTTCACAGAAGCAGAGCGCAAGTGTCAGTTTAACATTGAAAGAGAGCCAGGTAAGATTAAAGTAGCGAAATATTCAATATTTGACAACTATTTTACTTTAAACAACCGTCAGTAATATCCAGTAATGCAAACTAATCAACTTTTAACCACAAAACTTTCACCTCACCTCTTAGAAAAACTGCAGTACCATTAGTTATGAAACTCCATAAAATTTTCATGCTGTGAACCTAAACACAAGCCCCATGAGCCTTTGCCATCTACAGAGAAAGGGGCACTGGGCATGCTGAGAAACATGAGCGCGCGTCGGTATATGGGAAATATGTGATGGGGGTGGGGTCTTAAAATAAATGGAATAATCTGCACATCAATGAGTCGAGGGATGATGAAAAAGTACTGTATTTATTGCTTGATGGCCGTGAGACCACCCAAACCTGAGAGAGGAAGCCATCCATGCATGACGACAGCCTCCGTCAGCAAATCTGAGAGGAGAAGTGAGAGAAAGAGAGATAGATCTCCCCTTTGAGTGATAAGCCATGCTAATTGCATGATATCTTATGTGACTGAACCAGTAAAGCATGTCAGAATGACATTTCATATCAATGTACCAGCAAACTTGCAAGCTAGATTGCTTATTTTTAGGGGTTCAAGCACAGAACATGCTCAAACTCTATTATAGTAGTACTGTTTTGCCAACATTTTTTTTTTTCGGCCACAAAAGTGTGAGCATGAGAAACCTTAAGTAGAGATCTCAAACTTGGTGGAATGGTTCCAAATTGAAAAAGTTATCAAATCATTTGACAAATTAAATCGTTCTGGAGATATTGGCCAGTATATTTGTGGGTGCTGCCCACCCAACCCAGCAAAACTTAGTACACATGGACAACAGGAAATTCTGAAGAAGCATGCCAAATATAAGAATGTCTGATGCCCGGGGGATAAGAACGGTTTCTAAAGTATCAGCCTATCTATATCAATGGGAATGACAAATGAAGGCTGTAATACTAATGTTTTCCACCATAGGGTAAAGAATCTTCTTAGGGCTCATAGAATCGGTGTGAATGGTTCAGTAGCTTCACATGTATTAAAAAATGCATAGAAATCAATTTTCCCAACTATGGTACAATTTCAATGTTACAATATCTCCAAAGTTTAATATAACCATTTTGCAAAGAAATCTAATCTCCAAAATGATTATAGATTATTAAATGTTACATTATTGTTTATAACCTAATGATATTGAAAGTATTTGTTGCCAGACATTACTGAAATTTTTGCTGCCCGATTAAAATTAAGAGTCCATATTATTTGTATCTTTTAATACAGAATAATACTTCCGTAAAGGGGATGTGGGTAAACAGGTGCCAATAGGCATTGACTTCCATAGTATGGGGAAAAAAAAAATATGGAAGTCAGCCAGACCCCAAACTCACACTATTGGTTAATTCAGAAGTCGACCAAACACTCAAACTCAATGTTGAAAGCAGCACAGAGCCACAGTGTTTACACTCTTTGAGGAGTAAATCTACCAATGATTTACCTATAGTTGTCTCAGTACATTAAACTGAGAGGACAAAGTATTTTAACACTGAAAATATAATTACGCGCATCAGCTTTAAAGATGTACATTTTATAGCTTACTCAGAAACATTATCAAACCCTTCACCTCCAAAACAACAAAGATGGCAGTGCTAACAATGCTCATAAATAAATGATTCAGCAATCAGGTACTGAAGCATTTAGCAGAAGCTGCGCACACATCACTGCCAAACATTACTCCCATTCCTTTCTTTCCTTCTTGAATGCCTTGAGTATGGACAGAACATCTTTATCCTCCGCCCTTCACATTCTACTACAAATCCAAGAAATGCAACTTATTAATATCTCCTTTCATATGCTAATTTTTTATCCATACATAAATCATAAGACACAAGGTTGCTTGTGCTTCAGAGAAAACAGAGAGCGAGCGAGCGAGCGAGAGAGAGAGAGAGAGAGAGAGAGAGAGAGAGAGAGAGAGAGAGAGAGAGAGAGCTTATGGGTACACCACTAAGGGAACAAGAGGAAGACTACTGTGTTCTGTATTATCTGAAATGTAAAAGGTCTGTTGAAAACAGGGCAGCACAGATGCTAAACTACATTACCATGGACTTTATGCATGTCCTTCTGGGACAACTGAAATAAAATAATGTATAAATTAAAATTTAATACCATGAAGAGGCTTGTGTAAGATGTATTTTTAGAGGCAGGGTAGGGATGCAGCTTAATTTAAAAACAACTGAAGTCAATGGAAAGCCTCCACAAAGCATTCAAAATATTATATACTGGTAGTTTAAATATTATTTAGTTAAGTCTCTTTTTACTTAGATCTGAGTACAGTTAGTGACCTTGTTGAGATCTGTTAAACATCTCCATTTACTGCACTGCATTTATCTTTTAGCTGTTTAGGAGCATCAACTGAGACATTAGAGAGATCTCACTTGTGATTTTTCCCTTCCTATGGGTTGTTTACCGACAATACAAATTTTGTCTTACACTCTTTAAAATAAAGGCATCTATGATTCCTTGAAGAGCCTTTAACATCCATGCAATCTTCCCATTTTACTAAAGGTTCTTTATAGTGGAAGTAGCTTCTTTAGATTATTAAAATGTTCTTCACACTAAAAAAAAAATAGGTTTGTTTAAGAACTGTTCACTTAAATATTCTTTGACGAAACCAAAATGGTTCCTCTATGACATGCAAAAAAAAAATGAAAATCATGACTAGAATACAACCTCCTTCCATGACAAAAAAAAATTAATTGAATATTGATGGAGCAAGAATTAAAAAAAAAACATCAGAACACAACTTTAGCGAATGGGTGTCTTCTTTTCTTTCTGACATATTTCATAACTTTCTGTTCAATTAACAAAATGAACACTGTACAGAGCTACAATTTTAGCTCCCGTGTATTTCAAACATAAATCTCCATTATGTCAGAAGCTGTCAATATGAGCCCACTTTGCACATCCATCACAATAAATTCACATTTCCCATGTATGAAAAAAAATCTGTTTCAGTACAACAGGTGTTCTGGAAAGAGTTGTAGTGTTTTTGTTGCCAGGTAGTGTTTAAGGAGAAAATTACATGCTAGGGGCCTTTTACTCCAGGTGACCTTTAGCGTTATCATCCCTATCATAATACAGTACATGTGAGAGGCTAAATCTTACAATGCTAAATATTTTAGGGTCAAACTGTTTCATAAAGTGAAAAAAGGACTATGATGAAGCTGCTACAGGCAGATGTTCCCCAAGAAAAATCAGCTCTGAATTGACAAACATTAGTGAGGACAGTCAGATAAAGCCTGATAAACACATACTCACTGTCTGACTAACCATTCCAGAAATATTGCGCCTTATTTGACACAGTCCCCTTTGATTAGGTGTTGACCATTTTCAAGTGACCCAGTTTTAAGACACACCAGATACATTTTAAACTTTACAAGTTTGTAAACTACAAAAGGAAATTTCAACAGGCTATGAAAAACTATGTTTTTATTTTTACCAGTAGGACTGATCAGCATTTACTGGGATGGTCCCATTTCGACTCTTGATTTATGGGCTTTTAATTCTTGAAAAAAGACTGATGCACTTTGCTGCTAAGAACAGACCTGTGTATGTCAAATGAGCAAAACTCTTATGTCCTGCACCGAGATAAGCAACGGATGCTCTTCTTTCCCCATCAAAAACAAGGAACGTGCCAAGAGCCATCTATGCCATGTGGTTATCTATTTTACTTTCACAATCCATGTTTTTTTTTGAAGCAAGAGTGTATAAAAATATAAGGGCGATTATTCAATTAGGACAAAAGGAAAATCTTGTAAAAGGAAACTTCTTCACACTATATGGTTTTGTCTTTGTTAAAACATTCATTACATGTCCTAGAATAAAGATCTTAACATGGACTTGAACAACCAACCAAGAGGTATAATCCAATTTGGTATATTGCATGATGACGTGGATTCTTGATATAGTGTGTGTGATAGTATTGACAGTTGTTTCACTTTTTTGAGATTGCCTTCAAGAGGATAAGTTAAATAAGCATTGGAGTTGCTAAAAAAAAAGGGTCAAATAACTTTCAGTGTAAGCAAATTAAAATATATCCATTCTTTCTGATTTAGATTTTCAAATACGGACAAGTTAAATCTACTCACATTATGTTAAAAAAAACCTCAAAATTACATTTTTATGATGGTTTTTTTTTTCTTTTTTGTTAAAAAAACGCAACATTGCATTTCCTTGATGTTAACACTTTTTATTAATTTATAATGAGGAATTTAAAATGTCTGGTTGGAGAAAAAGATCAAACTCTAACATTTCAACTCTTCAAAGATATACAAAGTAATACATGGTTTTATAATTAAAAAAAAAAAAACACTTTTCATCTGTTTGAATTTATTCTTTACAACTAGAAAATGTTCAAATTAAATATTTGTCTTTAAAATCAAAGCCTAGGACAGAAAAGTCCCGCTATGTGAGCTTAAGACTGATGCTGTAATTCCGCAGGTCAGGCTTTATTCAAAAGTTGCGGTATCCTCTATTTTTATAGCTAATACATTTCATACTGTTATGAGTTAGTGCATGTTTATATGCATATATCCATATCCAGCCTACCTGCCAAGAGCTTGAAGGAATCTCTTGAAATTTGCCCAGCCCGCCAAAGGTGTAACATCTGTACATATGATCCTGAGACTCGGAGCAGTGCCACAGGAGCCCGAAACTCACTGCGTCCTTGTTTTTCAGGTGCTCCTTCACTATCCATGCGGGAGAGATGAAACTAAAACTGCAAATCGCGACCAGGGCGGAGGACAGGAGCACCCAAAAACACCCGACACAGCTGAACATCCTCACGGCAACGTGGGGCAACGAGACCGGAGACAGATCGATTCCCAGCCCTTTCCAATTCCGACCAAGCAGCGCGTGCATCTGGAGCACGCTCACTCACTGTGTGACATTAGATGAGCACCAATAATCACATAAACACATGAGTTAAAGATGCGTTAAGACAGATGCACCAGTGAACTAGTGAGCATAAGCACGCGTAACTTTTCAATAAAATGTAATTCCAGCACGATCCAGTTCAATAGAAAAGATATTCCAGTTCATCTGAGAGGAAGCAGGTGCAGGACAAAAGACAACCGTCACACCCAGAGCTCAAGCACTCAGAAATGCCACCAGCAGGTGCTCACTATGTAGTAAGATCTGAATCCGCTCTGTTTGCGCTACTCACAGCCCACATACCACCACCATCATCATCATCATCATCATCATCATCATCATCTTCCTCGGCTCGCGCGCTGCAGGAGTGAGAGCACAAACTTGCCAGTCGCATGGATGTGGGCGTCACCGCCACTGCGAAGGTGTTCAAACTTGTTTTTTGATTCATGAAAATCTGAATCACACACTTTTTTTTTTTCAAACCCTCAAACGTGTAATAAACTCGTGCCATCATAATTTCACGCTCTGAGTTTCGTTACCTTGCCTAACCTTAACATCCTCGCACTGATAAAAGCACATTATTAAATATGAGATGAACAAGTATAATTCAACAACCCAAATGAATAAAAAACGTAAACAATAAATCAGGTATTATTTACGTTTACTTTTACTTTGTTTTACGTTTTATCTCGTATTAAGATTCTGAAGGACGCCTATTTTCAAAAATGTAAGTGTCTTACGCTGCCCTCTGGTGGTGGTTTACCGCGCCGTGCACTTTTCACTTGTAATATAAAAAATTAACAAATACTGAGCATCAAATAGAGCACAACCATCATGGAAACCTCTACAGTATATATGTATGTAAATATGTATATATATATTTTTTTTTTTTTTTTACTTATTTATTTCTAGTTATGCTCAGCTTTCTTTTGCAAGAATGTAAAATGATTTAAAATCCTGAAAAATGCTTTTAAAATGCTTAAAAGTGAAAGGCTGGAAAAAAAATCATTAAAACAAAGGGAAACTGAATGGGAAAATCATAACTTTAAAAAACAGGCACACTACAAACTAGTAAGTAATGTCACTCCAAAACTCACTAGCCAATGAGAACCTGTATCTGTAAGACAACTTTTCTGCTCAGCGAAAAGGAAACGTGCCTTTTTTAATGCTTTTTCTTTGAAGAACATTTTGACTTTTTTTTATAGGTTTCTTATTTTCTTCATTCATTTCTATTCATTTTGTTTATATATTGGCACAAATCCAATTTCAGTGCAAATCAATAAGTCCTGCCTACACAGGTATCTGTAAAGCGCTTGTTCAATCGAACCCATAAACAAAAACAAAAGACAAACACTGCATCAAGAGGCGTTTCAACAATATATGTATTTAAATCAAACACATTTAAATATATTATAGATTAAGCACACATATACGTCAGAAAACATATTAGTGGTACATAGTACCAAAAGTCTTTTTCCTGTTTCTCGTCCACATCTCAATGAGGTCCAAAGCAATAACTTCATGTCCAATTACACGTTTCAAGGGGAACAGTCATCATTGAGATTTGCTTAGACAGAGTTTGACATATCATACAAAAAAAAAAAGAAAAAAAAAGAATCACCATAAAAAGAACTAACATTAATATATGGCGGTAAACCAGGAATCCACATTTATACAGAACAGGGATAAACATTGCCCTAGCAGTTCAGTTTGTATATCTCCAAGTCTAGAATCAGATCTGGACAGGGTTCTAGAGGGAGTCAGGGAATATTTTCCAGGCCTAAGTTCATTAGTTCAGTCACTTCAGGTCCATGAGAGAGGGACTGAACAGTCTCAGACACTGGCTGACTTATGTCAACTATGGCATACCGTAAATCTGTAAATAAAACTGTACGTAGCCACCTTGGATATTTATGCATTTTTGTTTTTCTGTTTGTTTTTACTAAAACAGGCCTAAGCACTTCATAGCCATTCTTTTAAAAAGTGAACAAAAAAGAAAGATAAAAGAGAAGTCCGAGATAAGAACTAAGATAAGGAATGAAATATTTAAGTCACAGCCACATTGTAGTTCCTGTTCAGATTCTTGTGCACTTCCTGTTGGTCGACATGCTAACAGCTAAACGCAACAGCAACAGGTACAGTTTGAAAATCTTGAAAGTCTTGTTCTGAATGCTGAGATTTTGTTCTGTTCGTCTGCTGTGCGACAGCTCTCGCTTGTTTGTTTACAGGTTTATTCATTTCTGTAGCTGAACTCATTACACTCCTCTTCAAATAATAAACAATTCCTTCTGAGTGCTAGAAATAATGGGGTGGATCATACAGAAAAATGATTTGGGCTATTAGTGTGCATATCTAAACACTCACACTCTCACACACAAACACATGCAGGAAGTCATGGAATGCTTCTTTCAGGTCCTCACTGATATGTTAATGTGTTCGTCTTCTGGTCATTTGCTTCTCCAGTCATTACGCAGAGGGGCGACAGGAGGGAGGGTAGGAGCTGCTTCCACACTGAGAACGAGAGGGTCATAGCTGATGAAAACAGAACAGGTCACCTTTCATACAGAAATCTATAACTGATAAAATAACCAGCCACTGCACTTACAGAAGTAGTCCTGTCATTCTAAAATAAACTTAAATTGGCTACTAATCCCAGTACCGCTAGACAATGACCACAGGGTTAGTTCACCCAGTAATGAAAATTCTGGCAAAATTGTCTCACTCCACCTTGTTCCAAACCTGCATAACTTCCTTCTAAGGAACCTAAATGGAGATGTTCAGCAGAATGATGAGGCTGCACTTTTTCATACAAGGAAAAATGTCAATTTCGGCATATTTAAACTTGCCTTATTGTGGTTTGCGGAGGCATCCACACAGTAAATGAAGTAAGGGATAATGTACTAACAACTGGTTATAGCAAAATAAACCTGGCCAGGTGATAACAACTGACACAATGTACATTATCCCATGTATTACATGGCTAAAATAAGTTCAAACATGACAAAAATCTAAGGGATAATGTCTTGTACAGTCATACCACTTCTTACACAGCTTTTCATGTCCACTTCAAATCATTTTAACATCTCACCTGTCAATAAATAAATAAATAAATGAAACAAATACTCTGTTTTGGCCATAAGTGTTTTGGAGCACCAAAAGCATTGATCAAAACAGTGACATTCAATTAGCACTTCCCTGATGATGCATTTTGACTGTCTGTCTATTTCATGCACAAAATGTGGATAAGCTATAAGAGGTAGACATGTCAGCATTGTGGACATATGTATCTACTGAAATATTGAGAGGCGACTCATTGTGAAAGAGCTTTACTAAACTGATTTAATTTGTTACCTGAGAACACAACACCCTGAATGGCATACCAAGCTGAATTATGCACTCAGCCAAATATAACAGAAATTAATAACTGGAAATGTATTTTTATTTTTTGGCCAAATTAAAACTTTACTTTTGGTTTTGGTAAAACATTCATTTTGGCGCATCACTATAAAGAAAAGAGAATCATAACAATTCTGAGGAATTGCCTTTGTTTTCCATAGAAGAAAGTAAGTCTGGGTTTGGAACGACTTGAATAAATTACAGAATTTTCATTTTTCAAATTGAAGTTCAAGAAACAAATCTTTATGAATGCAAAGACAAAATAATATGTACTTTTGTTGACTTCACTTCAGGGCTTCCCTAGTGTCCCTGCTGCATGACGTCATTGACGATCATCTTTGCGATCTTCCATGCCATCTCTTCTTGTGCCTAACACACCAAAAACAAAGATAGTACATATCATGAACTATAACAAGCTTAAATCCATTTCCATTCAATAAAAAGACATTAGAGAAGATGCCACACGTAATCTGAATGAAATAAGCAGGTGCACACCTCATCTGAGTTTCCTTGCACCCATTTCTTCATTGCTTGAGAAAACATGGAACCTGATAGAAAGGAAATAAAGAAAGAAAGAGTGAGTGAGCTGGACAGAGCAGTGAATCCTGCTTTTCACTGCTCTTCACCACAATCACCCCACATCACCGGCTAGTTATCGCCATGGCAACACTCTCTGCTCTCAAGCTGAAGACATCAAGAGCACTTCAGCAGAAGTCATAACTAAGAGCCAACTCGCACAATACAAAACATGTGCAAGTGCGTGTCAGTGTGAGAGAGAGAAAAAAAGTCTTCAAGAGCAAGAGTGTGTGTGTGTGTGTGTGTCTTACCCTTGGATTTCTTCACATCTGGTTCTGGCTCGGCCTCTCTGATGAACTGGCCCAGCTCATTCACCTTCCCAAAGGTCATTCTTCTGAGATGAAAGCAAGAAAAGCTGAATTTGGATCTGAATCCAGTTTTTTGTGCATAACACCAAGTTTCAAAAATAAGAATCTTTTTCTGCTGGCCCAGGCGGATCACAAAAAATGGTACATTATATTTCTAGCTCATTTTTTATATGCCAGAAAAAATTTTTGCTTTTTCAACTATGTCAGCCAGTGAGAAGATATTACTTTGATGTATAAAATGTTCAACTTTAGTGTTGCACGATATACCGGTACTAAAAAGGTATCATAATACCCTGCTTTTAAAAACGGTACGATTCTGCATTTTACTAGTACTGGTACTTTATGAATGCGTTTTAATAAGAGCCACATTTCCTAAGTTGCATCGATGTGCTGCAGCAGCGCAGTATGTGTGTGCAGCTCTGCTTCAGCTCACTGCATGCACATTAAGTGCAATAAACCTTGAAAAAGAACTCGTGCAGTACTCAGGCGTTTTCACACACCCGAAGCGCGTGCACAGAAAGCTACCTCTCTTACAGACAGCATGCGATCGCAAATTCAGATCGCTTTCACAAGTTATTGCACAAGTTATTGCCCATCTTGTCTTATGACTTAAGTGAACATAAACAGATGAGAAAGAAAATGCATGTGTATCAATAAATTGGATCCGTGCAGTCTGTTTCAAACAACATGAGTTTCATATGTAATCAAACAACAAAAGAAAAAGAAAAATCACTCACTGATCTTGACTAACTTCGGTAGCTTTAATAAGGATCAATGTATATTTAATTTATACAGTTAAGACTATGCAGTGCTTTATTTTTACATTTTGATTACTTTATTCATTTTCTGAAATGAATGGCTTTATCCTTTTAACTAACTTACCAATGTTGCAAAGATCTATACATACCAGATACCAGTAGGCTTGGTAGTTGCTCACCATAGAAGTGGCACTGACATTTTTTTTAAGGGGGATGAAATGCTCATAAAGAAGGGCAGGCACACACTGGTCATGTGAAAGATTAAATTTTTTTTCCATTAAATGATAAAATAACTATAAGCTTCATTTGGATCATCTATTATTCAATTACTTTTCCTGTTGTATTATGTTTTGTCTTGGTATCGTTTCAGTAGCAGTATTGAGATATTTTAGTCAAGTATCGTATCGAAGTCAAAATTTTGGAATCGTGACAACACTATTCAACTTTGCAAGGCATAAAA